AGGTAAACCCCTAAAGCCAGAGAAATTAGGGCCTTAGGGCTTCTGCAGAGCTTCAGCCCTAGAGCCCTAGAACCCCCTGCACTGTGAACCTAAACTGGAACTTGGGCGCCACACCCTAAACCCTGAACCCCAAACCCTAAACCCTAAACCCCAAACCCTAAACCCCAAACCCTAAACCCTAAACCTCTCGAACCGGGCACTGCCTGCCCGCACGTGGCACGGGCTCTGGCAGCCTTCCAGTGCGCGACTTGCTTGCTTAAGAGTGGGTTGGACAGGGGCTAGGGGTTAGGGTTTAGGGTTTAGGGTTGAGGGTCCTCGTTGAAGGTGCGGTTGATGGCTTGACTTTTCCCTAAACCCTAAACCCTAAACCCTAAACCCTAAACCCTAAACCCTAAACCCTAAACCCTAAACCCTAAACCCTAAACCCTAAACCCTAAACCCTAAACCCTAAACCCTAAACCCTAAACCCTACTTACAACCCTACTTACAACCTTCTCAAGTATCATGCGGTCCCGCCAAGAGGAACCCCTCCTCCCTCTCCAAACAAGAAACAGCAAGAACCAACGACCCAAAGAAGCCGCGAAAAGGGTTTAGGCTTTAGGGTTTAGGGTTTAGGGCTTAGGGTTTAGGGTTTAGGGTTTAGGGTTTAGGGTTTTGGGTTTAGGGTTTAGGGTTTAGGGCAAGTTGAGGGTTGGCATTTCAAGGGGGCTTGGCTTGGTCATCCTGAAGCTCTTAAGTCCTCAAACCCTAAGCCTAACGCGAGGGGCAGGGTTTTTTTTGCGAAAAAAGGGGACTCCGACAAGTCATTAGTTAGGGTTAGGGTTTAGGGTTTAGGGTTTAGGGTTTAGGGTTAAGGGTTAAGGGTTTAGGGTTTAGGGTTTAGGGTTTAGGGTTTAGGGTTTAGGGATTAATTAGGGTTTAGGGTTTAGGGTTTAGGGCTTCGGGTTTAGGGTTTAGGTTTAGGGTTTTGGGTTTTGGGGTTTGGGGTGTGGGGGTTTAGGGCTTCGGGTTTATAGTATACCATCAGGGTCCATGTACCTGATTATTGTATACCTGGGCCCCAAAGTCCCTAAACAGGAAGTACTTCAACACCCAAGTATTCCCTATTTAGGTACAGTGGACCCTTAGGGATGTAACCCTATATGGGGGGTTTACGAATACAAGGGACCCCCAATATAGACCCCCGACAAATAGTAGTCTTTTCACAGGGACCCCAATAAGGTACGCCGAAGATCGCAAACCCCCGGCGGTCAAGGGCGCAGGTGTTCCTGGACCTTAGCCCTAAAACTTAGGGTTGAGGGTTCAAAGTTTAGGGCTAGCTGGGCCCCAAAACTCCCCAACTCATTTTCTAAACCCCAATGTTGCACTGTCTTGAGTATGGGGGGGCCTTCCCCCCCCCCCCCCCCCCCTAAATTTGGGACCCTCTATAAACGCATGGCCCGGCGACCCCCCCAAACAAATTTGGGGGAAGAGGGGGGGGGGGGGGGGAACCGCCCTCAGGGCCTCAAGCTTTAGGACCTCAACGCCTGAAGCTTTCCAGCCTTTAAGATTCCTGGAGCCCAAGGCCCTCAGGGCCTCAAGCCTTACTGCACTGCGTAAGCCCTTAACCCTAAACACAAACCCTTAAAAAAACAATTCATCCGAAAAAAACTTGGTATTATAGAGGGTAGCCAGACAAACTTACTAAAGACAGCCTGACCGGCCCGTGGGCTCCCTATCACAAAATTTGTTTGGGGCCTCGTTTCGTAATGAATTTCCACTGGCCGGGCTGAGATTTCTGGATTCTCCGCGCTCTGGCTCTTTAAGATTCCTGGAGCCCAAGCCCTCAAGGCTTCAAGCCTTACTGCGTAATCTCGTAACCCAAAACACAAACCCTTAAAAAAAGTCCGGAAAAACTTGTGATAATAGCGGGTACCCCGAACAAACTCGGTTCGCTGAATAAATTTTCGACACTTGTGATTCTAGACCCCTGCTATACTAAAGCCAGTCCAACATGATCATGGAGGTTGATCTAACTTATGCGCTTGTTGGTACCCTGCACAATACAGATTCTTACGTGGCAAAACAGAGACCCAAAACCCTGTAAACCCTAGGCCCTACGCAACACGGCCTAGAGCCTAGAACGTACCGAACTAGACCCCAATTCCTGCAAAACAAAAAACCCAGTTGAAGGCTCAGCTGCTGACCTACACAATATTCAATCTTACGTACCACAACAGAGGCCACGAACCGTATAAACCCTAAACCCTAAGCGCTGAACCGTAAGCCCTAAACCCTGAACCTCAAACCCCAAACCCTAAACCTTGAACCCTAAACCCAATCGAAATGCACCCTTGGGCCCAGGCAGTGGCATCTGTTCACGCCCCTGGGAGGCCTTGCTGAGAACTGGAGGTTCAGAGTTTAGGGTTTAGGGTTCAGGGTTTAGGGCTTACCCTAAACTCTAAGCCCTACACTTTAGGGTTTACCTACGATTTCTCAGAAGATTACTTACGACTTCTCAGAATGTTCAGAGAACTAGGTGTTCGGTACCCCATGCGAGCCCTTATAGGAGTCTGTACTAGAAAGGGCTGCCAGGCCCCTTGTTCCAATAATTCCCTATTATCACCCAGTACGTTTCTTTCGGGATAGGATACAAACAAGCCTAAACCCTAAACCCCTTGAAAGGTTGAGGGGGTTAGGGGGCTTAGGATTTAGGCACTGGGGTTTGCAGCTCAGACTTTTTGGTTTCAGGGATCAGGCTTCGTTTCTTCTATTCATTTTTTTTGGGGGGGGTTGGGGAGTATATATTAAACGGGCTTTGCCCTCAATACCGATACTTGCATCCTACACCTCCCTGCCACGAAATGCTGAGTGTCGCGCAGACAGGGAGGGGCTGCTCTGCAAGCTCTCTAAACCCGTAAGCCCTAGACCCCTAAACCCTAAACCCTAAACCCTGAACCCTAAACCCTAAACCCTAAACCCTGAACCCTGTAGGTTCGCCACTAAGAGAGACGAAAGTACGATTTTTCTCGGTTTCGAGACATGCTCACGTTGCAGCCAGGAAGTCAGTTGGGACGATGCAAACAGGAATCGTCAGTAGACTTCCTTGTTAGATCTCAATATGAAGGTCCCCCTTTTTTAAGCCCCCCATTTAGTCTGGCACCTTCTAACAAGGGCACCCAGAAAGAGACCCTAATTTCGAGAACTGCCGCCAGGGCGGGCTAAGGTTGAGGGTCTGGGGTCTCAGTTGTGCTCACTGTACCCCAAACCTAGTAGCCCAGAAGCCAATAAGGGCACACTTTTTTGGTGTCGGCTACTGCATAAGGGAAGCTTGAACCAAAAGATTAAACAAAAAATAAAAGGGTACCACTGGGCTACCAAGCACATATATACATGGGAGTCTCCTTACCTGCAGTTTTCTATGGGTTTTACTGACTAATTATTATGGGGTAGTTCCTACTAAGCTGTAGGCAAACAGAGTCCCAGGTAAATATTGCCCAAGGTTGCAGCATTGGGGTTTTGAAGCTTCTAGCAAATCAGAAGCTCCTCCTGCTAAAGATGGCCAGAGCCCTAAACCCCAAACTCCTCAACCCCAAACCCAGGTTCAATCCCACCCCTCCCCCCCACAACCCCCCAGCCCAAGAACTCTAACCCCATCATGGCCCTATAACCCCCTTACCAGTAAACGACGACAACCTACCCTCTAGGCCCCTAAAGCTGGAATCCTCACACCCCCTCCCCCCCCCCCCCCCAAACAAAAGTCCGAGGGCTGCGCCCCCATCAGTCTTTGTCGCGGAAGGCGAGGGTGATGGGAGGGACGGATTGAGGGCAAACAGGGCTTCGAACCAACTGCGGCCAAAGGGTTGTTTAGGGTTTAGGGTTTAGGGTTTAGGGTTTAGGGTTTAGGGTTCTACGGTTCAGAGGTCCAGGCTGCCCCATAGTGCAGGCTCAGGGTGCGGGGCTTTAGGGGTTTAGGGTTAAGGGTTTAGGATTTAGGGTTTAGGGTTTAGGGTTTAGGGATTTCGGGTTTAGGATTTAGGGCCTCAGGGTTTAGGGCTTCAGGGTTTTAGGGGCTAGGGTTTTAGGGCTCAGGGTTCAGGGTTTAGCATTTGGGTTCGGGCTCAGGGTTCAGGGCGCAGGGTTCAGGATTTCGGGTACCCGGCAACCTACGACGAAAAGGGTGCACTTCTTTGCTTTATGAAGGGAGGGTGTAGAAGGGCTCCAACCCGCACAAGCTTTCTTAGTTTATGACCTTAAACCCTAAACCCTAAACCCTGAAACCTGAACCCTGAACCCTGAACCCTGAACCCTGAACCTTAAACCCTAAACCCTAAACCCTAAACCCGAACTTCAGAGGCCTTCGATTGCATGTAGCTTGAGACCCTGAACTCCGCACCCGGGAGCTCACCCTTGAAACTTGGATTTAGAGACTAGGGGTTTAGGGTTTAGGGTTTAGGGTTTAGGGTTTAGGGTTTAGGGTTCAGGGTAGGAGTTTAGGGTTTAGGGGTCTATAGGGAGTGGTATTCGGGTTTACAGAGTTTTGGCTTTCAGAAGTCGCCTTCGGGGTTCACTGCCTATGGGGGCTTCCTCAGTCAGGGTTTTTGGGGTGTTTCCTAAGCCCGAAGCCCTAACCCTAAACCCTAAACCCTAAACCCTGAACCCTGAACCCTGAACCCTAAACCCTAAACCCTAAACCCTAAACCCCAAACTAAAACCCTAAACTCTAAACCCCAAACTAATCCTTGACCCCCGCGACCCTGCCAGCGCTGATGTTGCGGAGGCAACTGGGGGCTGCGCAGTCGGAGCCCGAAGAGAGGGTTTAGGGTTTAGGGTTTAGGGTTTAGGGTTTAGGGTTTAGGGTTTAGAGCTTGATCAGGGACGGTTCAGTGAGTTTCGCGTTTGCTTACAAGGGTATTTGTGTACATTTAAGGGCTCATGGGTGCAGAGTTTCGGGGCTTCGCGGGCTTAGGGTTTAGGGTTTAGGGGGGTTTAGGGTTTAGGGTTTAGGGTTTAGGGTTTTGTCAGAGAGACTCGTACGGCGACCTCTCTGCCACAGGCCACTTTGGGCTCATCTTGCTGAACTGCTCAGAGTCCTGGATCACGACGCCTCGCGGAAGGGGGAGGGGTGTTCAGAACCCTAAACCCTAAACCCTAAACCCTAAACCCTAAACCCTAAACCCTAAACCCTAAACCCTAAACCCTGTGGAGCCAGTGGAGCCAGTGTTTCCTGGATCGATTTGCCGCAAGAAGCCCTAAAACCCTATAGGGCTCCGGGACCCACGCCTAAACCCTAAACTCTAAACCCTAAACCCTAAACCCTGTGTAGCGCACAGATAACCCGGTGCCTACACCAGACCCTGCTCGTGTAAAAGTCCGCACGAAGCCTCCCTCAAAACAAGCGAACATGCCCAGGACTGAGGGTACATGTCCGTTACTTTTGAGACCGAGCTGTATCGTGAGCGGCATATACGTAGCCCTAAACCCTAAACCCTAAACCCTAAACCCTAAACCCTAAACCCTAAACCCTAAACCCTAAACCCTAAACCCTAAACCCTAAACCCTAAACCCTAAACCCTAAACCCCCCATCCAGCAAGTGCCTCCCTGCGCAGTGAACTTCGCCGCCAGCGCGCGCTCGGCGGCGTCCCGACCAGCCCCCGCCGCAAAGGCGGCAGAGACGACCTGGAAGAAATGCTCCACATGGGTTTAGGGCTTGGGGTTTAGGGTGTAGGGTTTAGGGTTTGGGTTTACTCTTATCGGTGAGTGTATATCGGGTTCCTTATCCAAGAGCAGGCTAGGGGGGGGGGGGTTCCTTCAACGCAATCCCGCCAGGACAGCAACAAGGTTGAAGGTTTCCTGCTCGACTTCTAAGGTCTGGCCCCCTATACAAGGCTCACTTACTTTTAGGGTTTAGGGATGTTTAGGGTTTAGGGTTTAGGGTTTAGGGGTTAGGGTTTAGGGTTTCGGGACACTAGAACTGAAACCGTAAACCCTGAACCCTAATTAAAACAGTATGCCGACAGGGAAAGCAATGCGGGCTCGGACATGCAGCAGGCACCGTGGAGGGAACCCTAGATACACCAAAGTCGGAACTCACTTACTTTTTTGGGATTAGGACAAGGGAACCTGAACTCAAACCCCCCCCCCCACCCCCCAAAAAGAGATAAAGAAATACATGCACATATATGTATATATGTATATATAAATATATACACGTATTTTGTGTGCATGTATTTATAACCGAAGAATATGAAAACAACTGTTATAGTAGTACTGAGACCAATAATCGTGGTGCTACAAGGCATCTCAGGACTGCATCTAGGCCTAGGCTGAGAGTTGCGGGCTTGAGGATGTATGTCGGAATGAGGGAAGCTGGCGTGTAGGGTTTAGGGTTTAGGGTTTAGGGTTTAGGGTTTAGGGTTTAGGGTTTAGGGTTTAGGGTTTAGGGTTTAGGGTTTAGGGTTTAGGGTTTAGGGTTTAGGGTTTAGGGTTTAGGGTTTAGGGTTTCAGAGATTGCAGTCGACATACCGATCTCCACCTAAACTCACTTCTGCGGTTCTCCGTGAAAATGGCGGTTGCAGGTTTCAAAACAAGGTCATCCCTACCCCAAACTCATGAGCTGAGGTTCGGACCCGAAACCCTAAACCCTAAACCCTAAACCCTAAGCCCTAAACCCTAAACCCTAAACCCCAAACTCCTAAACCCTAAACCCTAAACCCTAAACCCCAGCTCCTAAACCCTAAACCCTAAACCCCAACTCCTAAACCCTAAACCCTACAACCCTAACTCCATCAAGGCAGCGGCTGGTCGATATTCGGCTCCTCCGGGAAGGAAGTGGCTCTCCTTTAGTTTGCTTTGTAGGGTTTGGGGTTTAGGGTTTAGGGTTTAGGGTTTAGGGTTTAGGGTTTAGGGTTTAGGGTTTAGGGTTTAGGGTTTGGTGGGGTTTAGGGTTTAGGGTTTGGGGTTTAGGGTTTAAGGTTTAGGGTTTAGTCTATTGCGGTCCTTGGGATGTTCCCCCCCCTTGTACAAACAGTCCTTATTTCTATACTCCCCTTAGGGCCTTAATACAAATAGTATTGTTAATATCCTCTTGGGTTTTATACAAATAAAAAAAATCCAAGGAGGATATAGATTAAGCATTATCGTACCCGTATGATAATCCCTATGAAAGGCTGTTCGAAAAAGGGGGAACATCTCAAGGGAGTACTACTATGGGATTAGGCACTCACAAACCCAATGTAGTATGGGTTTTGGGTACCTGATTCCATTGTAGTACTGCAAATGGACCCGCTGGGGCCGGAGGCGATGAACCCCCCTCAACTCACGTTAATTCTTGGGTATACTCAAGGGGCTAAAGGAGCATGACCCTTAGAAGGGACTGTAGAGGCTATTTAATTAGGCATAGAGGGACTATGTAAGGTATCTACAGGGGTCATATAGGGGAATGGGATTAGGGGCCTGAAGAAGGAAGTTTCTGCAACCACGCCTGTAGGTAGTACCGAGTCACGTAACAAAAGGGATATATACAATCAAATGAAAGGGATTCTGGGAGGCTGGGGTGATACCAATTACACAGTGATGTAAAGGGACATTGTGAATCTCCTGGCCAGGCCAGTCGTAAGCCCTAAGCCCTAAACCGAAACCCTGAACCCTAAACCTGAACCCTAGTTTCTTCTATTCATAAACCTAAACCCCTGAACCCTAAACCCAGAAACCTAGTTTTCTTTTTCATAAATCTAAACCCTGCACCCTAAACCCTAGTTTTTCTTTTCATAAACCTCGAACCCTAAACATTGAACCCTAGATTTTTCATCAGGCCTGAGCCCTAAACCGTACACCCTAAACTCTAAACCCTAAACCCTGAACCCTGAACCCTAAACCTAAACCCAAGTTTCTTTTATTCATAAACCTAAACCCTGAACCCTGAACCCTAAACCCTAGGGTTTGTCAAGAGAGCTTTCGTACAAGACCCAGCTAGCCAAGTTGCATAGAAGCTGACAAGATCGGCCTTGCCATGAGGGTTTAGGGCTTAGGGGTTTAGGGTTTAGGGGTTTGGGGGTTTAGGGGTTTGGGGGTTTAGGGTTTAGGGTTTAGGGCTTAGGGTTAGGAGTTTTTGGGTTTAAGGCTTAGGGTCTAGGGCTTAGGGTTTAGGGCTTCGAGTTTATGGTGCGCGGCGTGGGGTTTGAGGGGTTTAAGGGTGCAGGGCTTAGAGGTTTCGGGGTTGAGAGTCTTAGGGTTTCAGGGTTTGGGGGTTTAAATGTTTGGGATTTAGGGGTGTAGCGGTTCAGGCTTTGGGGTTTAGGGTCAGGGTTGGGGGTGTAGGGCTTAGGGCTTAGGGTTTAAGGTTTAGGGTGTGGGGCTTGGGGTTTCGGGGTGTAGGGCTTAATTAGGGTTTAGGGGTGCAGGGTTTAGTGGTTTGGTAGTTAAGGGGGTTGGGGGGGTTTAGGGGTTCTATTGCGGTGCCTAGCGCTTTCCTATTGCAAGATGCACCATTGAATTGTCTATTCATGTGCATTTTGTGAATTAATTGGCTGATTGATTTTTTTGGGGGCAAGGAACTCAATTTTATTCGTGAATGAGATGGGTGGCACTGTGTCTCTCAATATCTGTGCCTGAAGATATGCTTTAACCAGACGAGGAAGACCATTGTGGAAAACAAGGAAAAGTGGGCTTGGGCTCCGCTTGCGAATGTATGGTTGACTTTACGAGGATATGGCAGATCCAGTACTTAGTTGCTGAGTTCATAAGACCCTAAAAAGTGTACACTTTCAGTTCTATAGGGGATTCTAGTACCCCAAAAAGTGTAAAGTGTGCTCACTCAACTACCAAGAGTATTAACTGAATTTTATTGGCTGCTTGGGGTGGACTGAGAACCAGAGGTACGATGCAAGGACAACCTTCATGATCTACTGAACAAAAAATTAGACCAATTGTCTGCTTCTGGTCTTCGCGCGACAAATGATATTAGGTTTGCTGCTCTTGGGGTTATTGCTGCTTCGTACCTTTTATTTCACCGAGCGCCACAATACACATATTATGAAAAGGAGAACACAGAACAACTTGATCAACAGAAAACTAGTCCTTAGTTAGGCGAAAAGATCCCCAGAGAAACGCTCGCGATACCACCGAAGATCCATGCAATAAGCGCGCACCTTGGTGATGGAGGTCACCTCGGCTCAGAGCCCCAGCGTGGTGTAAGCACTACGGTGTACCTGGACCCCCAAAGTATGTAAAAAAAGAAAAGCCAGAACCCATAAACAGTGCCAGTATTTCGGGTTTATGTATGTCTATACCTTGCGAAGCCAAACCAACCCGTGCCCCTGGGAGGCTCCAAAAAAAAACAAATAGTACCCTACACTACTCTTGGGTCATGTTTGGGCACCCTTAAGGGGATCTAATCCTAAACCCTAAAACCCCGAAACCCGAAACCCTCTCCATTTCTTCGATCCTCCCCAGGGTGTGGGAACTTATCCTGTACGGTGTCCATGCCTCCTGTGACCGAACGCCAGCCGTCCAAAACAAAACAAGAATGGTATGGGGCTGGGCCCAGGCCGACTGGGGGGTTTAGGGTTTAGGGTTTAGGGTTTAGGGTTTAGGGTTTAGGGTTTAGGGTTTAGGGTTAGCGAACCCCTAAACCGTAAACCCCACACAAACCCCAAGCCTCCCTAGACCCCCTAAACCCCCTCAAACTCCCTAAGCCCAAAACCCCAAAGCTTGGGCTGCTGTAAGTCATCCACAAGTGACATGGTTTAAGGGTTAGACTGAAACCGGCTAGCTTCATACAAAGAACCCAAATCCAAAGACAAAAACACCCGAACCCAAACCACATCACATAACCATGCAGCCATGATGCTCCGACTCACGAGCGACAAGAAAGCGGATAAGAAAGAAACAAGGAACAACACACACACACACACAAGATAACCCAGACCCTAGACCCGATACCCCAAACCCCAAACCCTAAACCCCGAACCCTCAACTCCTAAACCCCGAAACCTAAACCCTAAACCCCCGAACCCTAAAGCCCTAAACCCTACACCCATCGCTCTTCCCAAGCGGCCAAGTTAGCTTCTTCACTTCGCCTTCGCCAGCTGAACTGAAGAGACCGAATCTCCTTAACAAGAAGGTTTAAGGTGCAGGGTTTAGGGTTTAGGGTCTAGGGTCTAGGATTTAGGGTTTAGGGTTTGGGGTTTGGGGTTCGTGTTTAGGGCTTAGAGTTTAGGGTTTAGGGTTTGGGGTCCAGGGTTTCGGGCTCACTGCTGAGGTCGTTGGGGTTTAGGGCTCAGGGCTTGGCGTTGTGGGGGGTTTTCTAGGGCTTTAGGGTTGTAGGGTGTAGGGTTTAGGCTGTAAAGTTGTAGACGTAGAGTTTGGGGGGTTATAGGGCGTCGAGTTTATAGGGTCTAGGGCTTCTAGGATTAGGGTGTATAAAAAAGGTATAAGGTTTGGATTGTATAGGTTTATGTAGGGATTGTAGGGTGTTGGGTTGATAGGCCTTAGGCTTTCTACGGTTTAGGGCGGCGGGGTCATGGCCATGGCGGCAAGCTGTGCACAAGTCAACCCTCAACCCTAAACCCTAAACCCTCAACCCTAAACCCTAAACCCTAAACCCTAAACCCTAAACCCTAACCCCTAAACACTCTCTATCCTATGTATATTTAAAAGCTAATGGATTCGCGGACAAGCACCAAAAATTCCCGGACAAGCACCAAAAATTCCCGGACAAGCACCAAACATTCCCGGACAAGCACCAAAAATTCCCGGACAAGCACCAAAAATTCCCGGACAAGCACCAACACTTCCCGAACAAGCAAGAATTCACGGCCAACCACCCAAAATTCCCGGACAAGCACCAACAATTTCCGGACAAGCACCAACAATTTCCGGACAAAGCACCAACAATTCCCGGACAAAGCACCAAAAATTTCCGGACAAGCACCAAAAATTTCCGGACAAGCACCAACAATTTCCGGACAAGCACCAAAAATTCCCGGACAAGCACCAACAATTCCCGGACAAGCACCAAACATTTCCGGACAAGCACCAACAATTCCCGGACAAGCACCAAACATTTCCGGACAAGCACAAAAAATTCCCGGACAAGCACCAAAAATTCCCGGACAAACACCAAAAATTCCCGGACAAGCACCAAAAATTCCCGGACAAGCACCAAAATTCCCGGACAAGCACCAAAATTCCCGGACAGGGTCGTCCCGGGGTCCCCCCGGGACAGCTTGTCCCGGGGCGTCCCGGGGTGTCCCGGGGCCTTCCCGGGACCTTTGTCCCGGGGCCCCCCCAGACAGGCCCGGGACAGTTGTCCCGGGACCCCTGCGGGACACCCCGGGACGCCCCTGGGACAGTGTCCCGGGCCCCCCCCGGGACGCCAGAATTAGACGTTTTGGGCGCGTAGGCCGTCTTGTTTAAAAACGAGAAGTAAAATATTTTCATAATGTTATGGGATCCAATGGGTGGGTGGGTCGATATTCGAAACCGGAGTAAGGAGCTCTACTAGTGAAATGCTTGGACTTGAGATGCTGAACCCTAAACCCTAAACCCTGAACCACAAACCCCAACCCCAAACGCCAAGCCAAAGCCCTAAACCCTAGAAACCCTATAAACCCTAGACTCCTACCAAAACCCTAGACCAGGCTTCCACTTGAGACCTCCTACCTCTGCGGCCATTTTTAGGATTTAGGGCTTGCTAACTACATGCCATCTGGCAGCCCAGTAACCATATTACAATAAGGGCACCTTGTTTTGGGTTGGCTGCTATACAAGGGAATCTTGAAGCAAAAAAGGAGAAAGGTACCACTGAGCTACCAAATCTATGCACACGGTTCGGCAAAATACGCACAATTACATGAGAATGTAAATGAGAATGTAAACACAGCTGCACAGACCCTAAACCCGAAACCCCGAAACCCCTAAACCCTAAACCCTGAATCGGAAACCCAAACTCGCACATGTTGGTATCTGTATACACACCCAGAAATGCAGCTGGAGAGCTTCGAGCTTTCAGGGTTGTGTGCAGGGCTTTGGGGGTTACTGCATCCGAGGCTGGCCCTAAACTCTCAACCCTAAACCCTAAACCCCGACCCCAAACTCGAACCCCTAAACCCTGTAGACCCCAAACCCTAAACCCTAAACCCTAAACCCTAAACCCTAAACCCTAAACCCTAAACCCTAAACCCTCTACCCTAAACCCTAAACCATAAACCCTAAACCCTAGACAAACAAAAAACAAAAAACCTTGTCGCCACCGCGGCACCTCCCACCAGCGGATGGCTTCTTCACCTGCCAAGTCTGAGAGGATCAGAGGCTGAACGTGTATGACCCTAAACCCTAAACCCTAAACCCTAAACCCTAAACCCTAAACCCTAAACCCTAAACCGAAAGGCCTGCTTTGCCTGCAGGGTTTCTCAGGAGCTCAGGGGCGCGTCACAGACTGCCCCCATGTCTGACCCCAAGAATTCCTCTAAGCCTTAGTATGGGCCCTTAAAAAGGGTACCCCTTGTATACCCTACACAAAATTCAGGGCCCATAAACCCCTAAACCCTAAACCCTAAACCCCTTAAAGGAGGTAAGGGGAACACACTACGGGCCCATGTTTCGACCACCCGCCCTGGACCTCCGAGAGACACGGCGCAAAGCTTCTTCTTGCATACTTGGGTTTTGGGTTTTAGGGGAAGGGCTTGGAGTTTGTTAAGTTCAGGGTTTAGGGTTTAGGGTTTAGGGTTTAGGGTTTGGGGTTTTTAGGGTTTTTAGGGTTTTTAGGGTTTTTAGGGTTTTTAGGGTTTTTAGGGTTTTAGGGTTTTTGGGGTTTTGGGGGTTTTTAGGGTTTTTAGGGTTTTTAGGGTTTTTAGGGTTTAGGGTTTAGGGTTGAGGGTTTAGGGTTTAGGGTTTTCATGTACCGGGTTGAGGGCTTAGGGTGTTGACACAGAGGCTCATAGAGATGTAGAGTCTGAGAACACTGGCTAGGGCTTTTGGTTTAGGGTTTAGGGTTCAGGGTTTAGGGTTAGGGGATGAAGGGTCTTGGGTTCGTGGGTATTATGGGCATCCTCTAAAACCGTCGGGTCCATGGGATATCGCCCACCCCCCCTCCCCTCCCACAAACAAAAGGGGGCGCCCCTACCCCCAGGGTTGTGGACATCTCATTCTCCAAAGCAGCCGAGAGCGAAATCCCTTCCAGGGCATACGAGCCCGACACCCTGAACCCCAAACACGGCAAATCATAGGCACTTCCCTAGACCCTAGGCCCGCAACCCTAAACCCTAAACCCTAAATCCTAAACCCTAAACCCGGAACCCTAAATCCTAAACCCTAAATCCTAAACCCTAAACCCTAAACCCTAAATCCTAAACCCTAAACGCTAAACCCCTAGAGCCGCAACTTGCAGGCGCAGGCCGGTTCTGGGGATGACATTTTGTAGGGTTTGCAGGTTGCGGGCGCTGGAGATCGTCGGGCTGGCCGCCAAGTCTACCGTTTAGGGTTTAGGGTTTAGGGTTTAGGGTTTAGGGTTTAGGGGGCTTATCGGGGTTGATAGGGCTTATGCGGTTTTCGGGATTCGTCGAACCCCTAAAACCCCAAACCCGAAACCCTAAAATGTACAGGGTCTGTAGAATGGATATAGGGGTAGTGTGGGCTAGTGATGCAAACCTCTCATGGGGCTCATGGGGCACCGCCCCTAAGCAGGCTTATAAGAGAACCGCGAGAGGAACAGAAAGGCTACGAAGGGGTCCCACCATGAAGGTTTAGGGTTTAGGGGGTCTCCCGGTCTCCCTAGTCCCTCAACCCAAGGTCCTAAACACTAGTCATGTCGTGCAGATGGTGTCGTACGACGATCTCTGCACTCACCGCCCTATCCCTTGCAGCAGGACGGGTTTCGGACACCCGAAACCCCAAACCCCAAACCCCAAACTGTAAACCCTAAACGTAGCGGCTTTTCAGTCCGGGCCAGTCTCAGAAAGTACGCCGCCGCGTTGCCGCTTCGGGATGCTCGGCTTTCCCAGAGGAGAGGCCCAGCATCTTCAAAGCGGCAGGGGACAAGTTGCTGTGCACCTTCTTAGGGGTCTGAGTTCAGAAGCCCCCCAAAAGGGGTTTAGGGTTTTAGGGTTTTAGGGTTTTAGGGTTTTAGGGTTTTAGGGTTTTAGGGTTTTAGGGTTTTAGGGTTTTAGGGTGTCAGGGCTTCAGGGTTTCAGGGTTTTTAGGGTTTTAGGGCTTAGGGTTAGTTGCTGAGTTCATAAGCCCCAAAACAAGTGTACACTTTAAGCTCTATAGGGGATTGTAGTGTCCCAAAAAGTGTAAAGTGTACACTAAGCCCCAACCCCAAACCCGAAACCCACCCTAAACCCTAAACCCTAAACCCTAAACCCTAAACCCTAAACCCTAAACCCTAAACCCTAAACCCTGTGTCCCAAAAGTGTACTCATTCATCTCCTCGGCCTTCGTGCTCCTTGAGGCGAACATGGCACAGTCTCGCTGCAAGGATTCGGGGCCCTGGTGCACAGCCGCTTCTGCAATGGCCACGAAGGACTCGTCAGAAATCATGTCCCGAAGAAGGTCCTTCGGTTGCTGAGTTCATAAGCCCCCTAAAAAAAGTGTACACCATCAGTTCTATAGGGGATGAGAGTATCCCAAAACGTGTAAAGTGTAGTCATTCAGCTGCTAAGATACCCTAAACCCTAGCCCTAAACCCTAAACCCTAAACCCTAAACCCTAAACCCTAAACCCTAAACCCTAACCTACTCATTCAGCTACTAAGGGTCTGCAAGAATGTGCACGGCGTTTGGCACCTCCCAGCGGTGTGCCAAGGCCATGGCGGTCAAGACGGTCTCGTGGTCGGGGTCGCTGCGCGTCGAGCTCATGTACAGTATATCCTCGGCATGACTGGAGTGCAATTTCGGATGGATGTGTTTCGTATTTGGAACCCGTGGAGAGTTGGGGATGTTGACGTTCGAGTGGGCGGGGGGGGGGGGGGAAGGAGGGGTGCAATAACTGTAAACAATCCCAAAGCCGGATGCAAGGCTCAAGAAAAAGAGCCACGCCAGCTTTGGAGGACTGCTCCACTGGAATCGACTTCAGGGCACCTTCCTTCATAGACGACAGCAGCATGGCCTTAAGAACCTTGGTGCCCAGCAGCCATATTGAAATTTGGATACCCCTTTTTGGGGTCTAGGGTTTAGGGTTTGGGGTTTTGGTTACTTGAAAAGGGAACCTTGAACCGAGAAAAGGGCAAAAAAAGATGTGACTAGGCTACCAAGGAACAGGAGACGACGCGAAGAGAACAATGTCATGGCAAGAGACAGCGCCTCCAGCAGTGTCAAAGGTAACGTTGTGGGTGTCAGTCATGTCGCGCATCGCCTCCCAGCGGTTGATGACGCCTTGGTCCACTGAGACCTGCGTGCGTCTCGCATCCTTCGCACGCGCGATCACCGACAGAATGCCTTCAAAATATTGGATCATTTGCACGTTGGATGTGGCACTTCCTCGCTGGCTAGGATTGTCTGACTGACACTTCTGCAAGGCTTTGAGCCTTGGTCAACGAGGTGGATTTTCACGGTGAGAGAGTAACCGCATAGCGAGGCTTCCGTCCACCAACAAAAACAACAAAATGGTCCAGGAGCGCGAAACAAATCCTAACAATCCGTGCACCTTGACTAACTCATGGGCACATTTCTCTATAGGGTACATATGGTCAATTCTGGTCCCTTTTTGGGTACCCTGAATATTCGGGGCCGCCTTATAATGTAAACCCCAAATGGGGCCCCTTTATTGAGAGAAGTGACCACCTAGGAGACCCTAAACTCTAAACCCTAAACCCTAAACCCCAAACCCCAAACCCTAAGCCCTAAACCCTAAAACTTAACCCTAAACCCTAAACCCTATAAACCCTAAACCCCAATCTAGGTTACCCTACGTAAGCCCCAAGCTAAACTGTCAGTGTCCAGTCTCCACGCCACAGACAGCGAGATGGCGGAATGCCCGGAGTAGTCCACCTCAACAGAGGAAGGCCCCACACCTCGGCTGGCTATTGAATGGCCTCTGGGCTTAAAGCCCAAACAATTTGTAAGATTTAGGGTTTAGGGTTTAGGGTTTAGGATTTAGGGTGGCTGGGAAGGGTCCAGAATGAGATCCCCTTAAAATCAATTTCGGGAAGTATGTACTTGGTAGCCCAAGTACCCATATTAAGATATATAAGGACGCCCATTTTTGTGTTGGCTACTTTTATAGGAGAACCTTGAACAAAAAAGGGGAAAAGGGCACCACTGGGCTACCCAGGGAAGAACATATAGGGGCCTTAGTAATTAGAACAGGGTTGGGGGCATAATTATAGTACATTTATGTCTGGACCATCAGGGAATACGATTAGAATTTGTTCCGACCCCCTATATTATAACCCTAAACCCTAAATCCCAAACCTTAGGGGAATGCCATGAGTAATTACTCCCACCCCCCCCCCCCTTTGTTATGGGTAGTTCATGGGTAGTTCTCTAAATTAGGGTCCCTTTTGGGTACCCATTATAAGGCGGCACCCTTTAAAAAGGACCCCCCAAAAAGGTACACCAAAACCCTAAACCCTAAACCCCAAACCTTATAAGGGAATGCCATGAGTAATTATTCCCACCCCCCCCCATAGCATATGAAGTAGAGTCTATATTTCTTGTACCCCCCAAAAGGACACCCAATATATGCACTCATCAAAATGAAAAAGGAACCTTCTATACACTCACCAAAAGCAGAAAAATAAACCCTGCAGGGTTCAGGGTTCAGGGTTTAGGGTTTAGGGTTTAGGGTTTAGGGTTTAGGGCTTAGGGCTTAGGGTTTAGGGTTTAGGGTTAGTAACGCAGCCCAGCCGCCGAGCTTGGTCAGCTTTGCCTGCGTGGTGAGCCAGGACCTCAGCTGCCAGGAAAGTGTTTTTAGGGAAACCCTAAACCCTAAACCCTAAACCCTAAACCCTAAACCCTAAACCCTAAACCCCAAACCCTAAAACCTAAACCCTAAACCCTAAACCCCAACCCTGAACCCTGAATCCTAAACCCTAAACCCTAAACTTAATCTGGGCGCGACAGCAGCGGAGCCTGATGATGCGGGTCCGCGCCTGCAGCCAGCATCCACTCAACGATTCGAAGATGCAGCTCCTGCCTCGAGAGGAAGTAGGGTTTAGGGTTTAGGGCTTAGGGCTTAGGGATTAGAGTTTTGGGCTGATTTCCAAACCCTAAACCCTGCAACTTATGGGATTTAATCTAACCGTAGTCTTTGTAAGGTTCTGGGGTTAAGGCCGGTTTTGGGGGTTT